TCGCCTACGGCCGCTGTTGCAGGAGCAGGCGAATTTGAGACAACGCACAGCGAGGATTTCTTCACTACGGAAGTGGAAAGCCCGATGGGGGAGGAAGAACAATCCGCGCCGGAGGAGGGAGCAAACTCAACAACCCTGCAGTCAAGGGAGACCACTGGAGATGGGGATGCGCAGCCAGTACAAGAGAGCATGGCGTCTCTGGCTGGAAGTGAGGGATTGCTGCCCAAACAAAGCGAGGCCCCTGTTCCAGAAAATAACCACTCCGAATCCGGGAGCGGCGCGAGCCAAGAGGACCGCCTTGCCCTGCTCAACGACGCGAAACTGATGCTGCATGATTGGAATGTCGACAGCACTGCGCGTGTGTGCGTGTCTCGGGTGTCGATGCTTCTTCTTCTGGGGCTGTGTGGAGCTGTGGCAGCATTGTGAGGCAACGAGTGTGGAATTGCGACTCCCGACGGAGAATAAGTGCCGCTTTTCTTGCGGTTTTTGATGTTTTTCTTTAATGTTTTTTTTCTTTTCTAAAAAATCTTTTTTCACTTTTTCAGTTTTTTTTTGGTGTTTTTTCGAATACTCAGTTTCTTTTTTTTTTAATGGTCGTTTGCTACAATCCGTTGTGAGTGACGTGTTTCCGACTTTTGTTTCCCTTTTGTTGCCCACTCGCGGTGCCGGCGTCACTGCTGCGCTTCCGGCGGACTGCACAAAACGAGGAGTGGGGGAGCAGGCCGGATGCCGCATGGAATGTGAGGGATGTTGTGTGGGCTGGTGGGAGAGTACAATTCCTTTTTTTGTTTTCTTTTTTGTTGTGCAGGGAATATGCATACGCCCCCGATCTTCTTGTGCTGCATGGCACATGGAATTCCTGCCGAATCAATTTTTTTTTTGTGTTTTCATTTTTTTTTTTTTACTCCCCATCCCCTCTTTTTTGCTTTTGGGGCAACCACTAAGGAAGTGATTTTTTTCTTTTCTACTCTTCCCTCTTTAATTGTTTCTTCTGCACTCTTCCTGCGAGGGGTGCCGTGTGTTCCCGCCCAACTGCTCCACTCGCACACCCACCGACACGCTCACGACGACGGCCCTGTGCGCCTCGCCTGCTGCACGCATGAGGAGGGGCCGCGACGAACGGCGCGCTGAGGGAGCCGTGACGTGTGGGCGTGCGACGAGGGCCTGTGGGGCGGAGCACACATTTCTTTCCTCTTGTTTTTTTTTCTTTGCGGCCAGGGCTGGCAGACACCCGCAGCGCCACACACACACAGCCACACCCTGCCGCCGTGTTTTTCTTTTTTTTTTTTTCTTTTTTTTTTTGCTGCGCTCACTCTCCCGATGGAGTGACGCGACTCCCGTCATGTCTGCGTGCTTCTCTCAGTCCCCCCACACACACGAGTGACTGTGCTCTGCGGGCCGCACTCACGCGCCGATGAGAGGACTGAGGGGAGCAGCAACACGCAGATGACCCATGAAATATAAACGATGTGCGGACACACGGAGGGTCGGACGGTTGAAAGACATTTAAATATCTAATTTTTAATGTGCGGGCAAAATATACAGACAGTTTGGTGGGCGCACACAGTAGCCAGTGAATTTTTGTGTGATGGGTTTTTCTTTTCTTTTTTTCTTATTTGTGTGTAGCCGTAATAGAGGACGACTTTTTTCAATTTTTTTTTTTTATTATCTTTTTTATTTTTCTTTTTTTTTCTTTTCTTGTTTTCTTTTTTCTTTCCAGAGCGTGAGGTGTGGAATGAAGATGATTTTTTTTTAAAATTTAATAAATTTTTTATGAATTGCCGCTGCTTTGGTCTGCAGTGCAGTATCATGAGTTTGGGCAGTCTTTTTTCTGTTTATTTCTGCCATGCACTTCTGCTGTACATTTTTGTTTGTGCGTCCCTTCACATGCTCTGCTCCTGTTTTTACTTCTTTGCCTCGTGTGTCTGCAGGCACACACAACCACATGCACGCACAAGATGCGCATTGCAGTGGATTTGGATGCTTCTTTTGTGGCGTGTGCTGGCGGTTGCGGGTGGCTGCTGCTTCCTCTGTGGGCATGGAGCGAGGGGAGGAGGAGAGAGGGAGCGCGCACCGCGAGTCACTCTTCCTGCGGGTGTGATGCGCGCGATGGGCTGCGACTGCTGTGGAGGGCCGCATCCCTTTGGTGTGCGCTTCTCCGCCGTTGTGCCGTGCGATTGCGCATGTCATTTGTTATGCGCGTGCGTGCTGGGCATGTGTTTCCGGAGCGTTGGGCGGCCACCACCATTCTTTTGCGGCTTGTGTGAGTGGGCACGTGCGGATGAGGGTCAGGGCGCATGGAATGAAGGAATGGCTTGAGGAAGGGGAAT